TTACAGGGGAAATCAATTGATAAGTTTATTTCTGTAAATACACCCTATGATAATTCTGTTACAGGGGAAATCAGTTGATAAGTTTATTTCTGTAAATACACCCTATAATAATTCTGTTACAGGTAAAATCAATTTATAAACTTATTTCTGTAAATACACCCTATGATAATTCTATTACAGGGAAATCAGTTGATAAGTTTTTTCTGCAAATACACCCTATGATAATTCTGTTACAGGGGAAATCAATTGATAAGTTTATTTCTGCAAATACACCCTATGATAATTCTATTACAGGGAAATCAGTTGATAAGTTTTTTTCTGCAAACATAACCTATAGTATTTACAGTTAAATATTTACTTTTTGTCTGTTAATTATATAGACAATTCACGTGTTATGGATCTTGCCCTTTGATATGTGAACTATTATTGAACACCCATTGTATTTTCTAGATGGTTATTCGCTATTTCGAACCTTCAGTAGTTACCTGCCTTGCTGAGCCATGGTTCAGGGAACTGGGGTTTGCCATATTCTACGGAACGATCGTTCTGAAGGTTTACAGGTAATAATGCAATGTTTTAGGTAGGTAATATCTGTAGCGTTTGTGTTTGAACAAATAGACTTGTTATATACTTGTCATTTGAAGTGATAATCTAGGTAAATATTTTTTATGGTTTAAAAAGAACGGTATTATAAACGCCAACCATTGAAGCATATCTAAGTAAAGGCTACTGTTTGACCGTATCAAGAAACAATGTATTTTTGTGGTTCTGGCCATTTGTGGATCGGTATATGAGGAAAAGAGAAGAGCATTGTTTACAAGAAAATGTGTTGTATTTCGGGTTATTAGTATACAAAACACTGTTCAGTGATAAAACATAACATAAATTGGTACCAACTGTTGCTTGTGGTTCTGGCCATTTGTGGATCGGTATATGAGGAAAAGAGAAGAGCATTGTTTACAAGAAAATGTGTTGTATTTCGGGTTATTAGTATACAAAATACTGTTCAGTGATAAAACATAACATAAATTGGTACCAACTGTTGCTTGTGGTTCTGGCCATTTGTGGATCGGTGTATGAGGAAAAGAGAAGAGCATTGTTTACAAGAAAATGTGTTGTATTTCGGGTTATTAGTATACAAAACACTGTTCAGTGATTAAACATAACATAAATTGGCACCAACTGTTGCTTCTTTATGTGGTCACCGGAGGTCGCTGTAATTCCTCGGTCAGAAATACATGACACTGATATCTGTGTATCGCCGACAAGCTATATGAGGTCACCGAAGGTCGCTGTAATTCCTCGGTCAGGAATACATGACACTGATATCTGTGTATCGCCGACAAGCTATACGAGGTCACCGAAGGTCACTGTGATTCCTCGGTCATGAATACATGACACTGATATTTGTGTATCACCGACAAGCTATATGGGGTCACCGAAGGTCGCTGTAATTCCTCGATCAGGAATACATGACACTGATATCTGTGTATCGCCGACAAGCTATACGAGGTCACCGAAGGTCGCTGTAATTCCTCGGTCATGAATACATGACACGGATATCTGTGTATTCGCGACAAGCTATACGAGGTCACCGAAGGTCGCTGTAATTCCTCGGTCATGAATACATGACACGGATATCTGTGTATTCGCGACAAGCTATACGAGGTCACCGAAGGTCGTTGAGATTGCTGAAAATGCTGTTTTTCCTACAACACAGATGTTCCGAGTAACGCTAATAAAAATGTCTTAGTTTTCTGTGTAGTAGTTGATGTCTTACTACGATATGCTGAAATAATGAGTACGTTTTTGAATGTTGTACTTCTGTATCCAGTTGTAATCAGTAATTAAGTTAGTACATTCTAGTACTTTTCAGAAAGTCAAATTAAAAACATGCTAACTATATGTATCTGAACCAAATGATATAAAAGCAACATACATTAATAAAGACAATCCTCACTGTATAACAAATTGACTAGAAATAAGTAATGTCATATATCTATCAATACGCAATAAAACCAATAGTGATTATTGAATTATCCTTTGTGAATCCTCACTGTATAACAAATTGACTAGAAATAAGTAATGTCATATATCTATCAATACGCAATAAAACCAATAGTGATTATTGAATTATCCTTTGTGAACCTTCGCTGTTAACTATATTTTCTGAAATATCATAATAGTAATATCATATAACTTTGTCAGTATTTTGATTCAAACATTAATACGCGTTTGTGTACTTCTAATAAGTATATGTTATTTTATAATCGTTGCTTTCTGATTACTTAGAATCTTAGCGGAGTTTCAAACCAGAAGAGCACATCGAGTTTGTGTAAGGAACAGAGACTTGCTGAAATATTTGCTGGGAGTTATTTTGGTGGTGGTGGGTTATATGGCTGCATGGACAGCTGTTGTCGTGGATAGCACTAGCAATGGCCACAACGTCTTGGAGGAAGGCAGGACTGTGGAAGGGCTCATCTTTTTTACCTGTCGAGCACTCTGGTGGGATTACGTCACCGAAGTAGGCAAGTTGAATTCAAGATCAAAATATTTTATCAGAAGACCGGGGATTTTTCGAATATCTTCCTTGGAAACGATAATAATACCATATTCAGTCTAAGTTTACACAGTTCGACTATAAAATCGCCATATAGCTGCTCCCACCAGACATTCTTTATAGCATTTATCATGTAAATTAGCAATAACGTCAGTTCCAACTGGATCATCAATCTTATCTTTACGTACGAAGCAGTTCTTTAGCCTCAATCGCCAATCGCCCGATCTGGATTTAATTCAGTAAACTCAGCTCTATCTAAATCCCTGAAAAGAGCTTGCGCTACTGAAATATGTTTTTACAGGAAGTTGTGTCTAAAATATAAACTTTTTTTTCTGAGATTGTAAGATATATTTTATCCAGCATGACAGTGCTTAAAGATTTGTTCCCCCTAATGGATAAGATGTTAAACTTACACTTAATAAGTCATAAGAAAAGATAACAATTTGAATTTTTTTAAAGCAAAGATGATAATGTCATCCATTCAGCTAAGCCCGTATAAGTATAGCTTTATAATCAAACAATAGTGTATAACTTAGTAATCAGACTATAGAGTATAGTTTGATAACCAAACAATAGAGTATAGCTTGATAATCAAACAACAGAGTATAACTTAGTAATCAGACTATAGAGTATAGTTTGATAACCAAACAATACAGTATAGCTTGATGATTAAATAATAGAGTATAACTGAGTAATCAGACTATAGAGTATAGTTTGATAACCAAACAATACAGTATAGCTTGATGATTAAATAATAGAGTATAACTGAGTAATCAGACTATAGAGTATAGTATGATAACCAAAGAATAGAGTGTAGCTTGGTAATCAAACAATATAGTATAACTTGGTAATCAAACAATATAGTATAACTTAATAATCAGACTATAGAGTATAGTTTGATAACCAAACAATAGAGTATAGCTTGATAATCAAACAATATAGTATAACTTGGTAATCAAACAATATAGTATAACTTAATAATCAGACTATAGAGTATAGTTTGATAATCAGACAATAGAATTAATATAGATGATGCTTATCATAACTAATTATAAGAACAAAACGTGTTTGTCGATGTATACTTTATTTTCAATAATCGACAGAAAATTATTTATTATTTTCAGTTATTTGTTTATAAATGGTACTGAACCCCCCCCCCCCACCATTCTTGCTACGTAAAAACTTTAGTTTACTATATCATTAAACGTTATTTCACCTTAAGAAAAATAATTATTTTTACATTTACTGTTCAATCGTTTCACAAAAGCCTGCCGTTATCAAGCCTCCTACAGGATTATGTCACAGTATTTCAAGCACCTCAGCTTGTCTCACTCGAACTTTCGACAACTAATACATTGGAGAAGTAGTTTCTCATCTTTGTTTATAGATAATCAAAACTAGAAATGCTATTTCTTGTAGATATTTGGAAATTAATTATTTGATATAACTTCTTTACATGGAATTTTGAAAGATAATGCGAAAACCTGCTTGTGTTGCACGAGGTATTTCCTCCACACGATACCAAAAATTCATGAAACCAAAAATGTTGCATTCATTTTACTGTTGAATTAAGACCTCGCCTCTGAACATCCATTTTTAGAAACCAGATAATTTCTATCCAAAACTCTATTTGCTTTATCACATTAAATAGCTCTTAAAATCTGATAGTTTTCAAATTATTTTTCCAAAATTAATTATATACGAATTTTGTTTTAAATCTTTTATGTCTGACACTAATGCATCAAATAATCGTTAATGTAAGTCCTTAAAAATTGAATTAGAAAATCCAACAAAAATAATACATTATATTTGACGTTAATTCTATAATGTTTGAATAAAAACAAATCATTATAACCAGAAACTTGGTTAAAAACATTCAATAACTACAGTATTTCCATTGAATTGTCCCCTCAGTGGGACAGCGATAAGTCTACGCTGAAATCTGTGGTTCGATTCCCCGCGGTGGAAACAGTAGATAGCCCAGTGAGGCTTTGTTCTAAAATAAACAAACAAACAAACATATTGAGTCAGTGTAGGAAAAAAACTGATTATTAGATTTACATATATATATATATAAGAATTTTCTTGGTAAAGTTATTTTATAGGAAACTTAGAAATCCCAGGAAATTGGAGCTCGATGGTCAATAGTTTAATACTTACCATGGTTTTCTAAAGCTGAACTACACAGCGTGGTCACCAATAAATAGACACCACCTTTTCAGAAAAAAATGAAATTTTTCAGTCATATTCATATGAATTGAT